GGAGATGGGTAAATTTGTAATTTTTTATTTTTTTATTAAGGCAAAATCGGTTGATGAGTTGGTGATGAGTTGGCAATAACGTGGCTTAAAAAAAATTCCAGATCAACGTTTTTTTAAAATTATTTTTGCCATGTCAAAAAAAATTATAAAAAATGTCACGTGTCGTAGTTAGCGGTCTAAATTGACAGAAGAACTAACGGTGTGCATTTTTTAGAGTTGAAAGATCAAAAAAGTGCAAAAAATTATTAAGGGACCAAAAATGTGCAACTCACTACAGTTGAGTTGAGGAATCAAATTTAGCATTTAACTTTTTTTAATTCATGTTTTAATTAATATATTTTTTAAGTTGTTAATTTATATAAAAAATAAAAAATTAATATTAATATTACTATTATATATTTTAATTTAATTAATTATTAAAATTAAATTTTATTTTTTATATAATTTAATAATAAAAAAATATTGACTACCTTCTTAATTTTTTTCTTAGAATATATGGTTAAAAAACCCTAAATTTAATAATACAAGTGATTTGTTATACTCTAAAAAGACTTAGTCTCGGGCTCGGAGTTTGTATGTTCTCACTTTAAAAATTTTATTGTTTGACTGAAAATTTCAAATTCTATAAATAGTTATTCATGATTTTTAGAAAATTCATACAGTTTATCAAATTTATTAAATTTAGTGTAAAAACTACCAAAAATGATTCGTTTAGCACGTTTATTGACATTGGTTTAACTCTTAAGGAACAATTAGTAACTAATCGCAGATGAGCCTGCCGGTGCTAGCCGCTGTAGATAAGGTGCATGCTGCGTTGGCATTTTCCAGGGTTCAAGTTGCTCCAGTTGCTGCCTGGTAAGACTATGTTCCGTACAACTGGTAAGAAGTTTTTTGAAATTTAAAAGCTCCGACTGCATCAAATATTACAATTTGTGAAAAATTAGACTTGATAAAATTAAATCCAATCTGAAAATCCGACTCAACACATCATTGGGTGATAGGTCTTATATGTTAATCTAAAATTTAAAATGATCCGAACTGAAATTATCCAAATCCAAATGAATTTGATCACAAGTGGATCGGGTCACAGGTGAGTCAAGTCATTTGAAATAATCTTAACTTTTTATTTATTTATCTTTTATTAGATTATTTAAAAAATAATTTTAAATTTCTAATTTTCTTAATCCTAAAAGTAAAAATAAATAAAATAAATAAAATACATAAATTTTAACCTCCTTTCAGTTTCTCATTCTCTCAACTTTTCCTCTTCTCCACTCTTACTCTCCCTTTCTTCAACTCAAGCTCTTTAATCCTTCTCTTTGGTGGTACTTGCATAAAAAATCAAATTATGTGGCACATAATAAGTTGTGTCATATGATACTGTCAAAATTTTTAAAAAAATAAATATAAAAACCAAGAATGTCTATTAAAAATCAAAAGTCAGTGATTGAAGAACTCTTATCATCATTAGAAGCACAATGACAAAAACATCAAAAACATCAAGAACATCAAGGTTTGATATTAGTTGCTAATTTGTTCTTAATTAATACTTTGTTCCTTATTAATAAAAATCAATCCTAATCCAATTTCTTCTTGTATTTATTTAGATATATTTTAAATTTACATTTTAAACTTTAATATTGAATAGGGCTATACTTTTTGTATAATACCTTTTTAAATATTGAATAGAATTGTATTTTTTATATAATACTTTATAAATGTTGAATAAACATTAGATATTAACATATATATTACATTTGTCTTTTGAACTCTAATCCTTCATATCTCTTCTTTAAATGAAGATCCATGTCTCTTCTTTTAATGAAGTGTCTTTTCTTTTAATGAAGGTTAATGCTTTTATGAAATTATAAATTCTAAATATTGTATAGGCATTATATATTTGACATATGTTTTAGTTTCACCTATATAATTAGTAATCTTTCCCTTTTCTTTTCTTGAGATTGGATAAAAATTGAATTGCGAAATGAAAATTAGCGTTTAATAAAGTTTTCTCACTAAATAGTTAATTAGTATTAGACTTTGTTAAAGAAAAATAGAGAAAAATATTTAAAAAATTTAATTTTTTAAAAGTTGAGTCCACTCGACCAAATCCGAGACTCATGTGGGTGGGTCATGACTCTATCCTTTCAATCCGACACTCGAAATGACCGAATCCGAAAAACTCGAGATCCGAGACGACCTAATCCGACCTGTTTGTTAGGTCTATGAAAAATGTTATAAATTTTTATAAATTAGTATTTTATCTATTTCATTATAAATCTCAAAAGTATCGAATTTGTGCTTTTGCATAATTTTATCATTTGGATTTTAATGAAATTACACATTATATATATTTTATCTTTATTTTTTATTTTATTTACAAAAACAGCACTTATACAATAATTTATTTTTAATAGAATTTCTATTAAAAACTCCAGTCACACCAAATGGACACTAATTATCCTCTTTTCCCCCAAATTTCCCTTATTCAGAAAAGAAAAATGATAGTAGATATTAAGGATAATAGTTGTTATTTATATATAATTTAAACATTATTATTCATTTAAAGAAATATTGTATAATTTGAATTGTATAATATAAATAATAATTATTATTTTAATAAATATAATATAAATTATTAGATAGTGATAAATTCTTTGATTTTAAAGACAATTAGATTGTAAGATAGAAAATTTTTATTCATTTGATAAGATAAAATAATAATTAAGGAGTACTATTCATGATTCTCAAATAATTTAAATTAAACAAATTTGATACCATATTTGAATCATATTAGTGAGAGTTTTAAGTTCTATTTGATTTGGCTATTAAAAATATTTGATAGTTATAACTATTAACTCACATATAGTCGATATTTCTATTTTTTAATAGTTTAAAATTAATTTATATATTTTTCTAAACACTTTTTTTATTTATTTAAGAAAAAAATATAACCTAATTAAGTTAATCAAATCAAACCCCCTTTAGTTAAGTTAATTTCAATTTTTTTGAGTAATTTATTAGTTGAATAAATCAAGTAGAGACCAAATGAATGGTTATCCGCACCCTTATTTACAAGGAAACAATATCTCATTTCTGGCCAAGAAAGTAGGAATATCTCTCTGCCATTTTGTAATTGCTAGATTATATACTAATATCAATTCTTTTATTTAATTTATTAATTTTCGTTTTGAAAGTATATATCAAATTAAAATTAAACTAGTAAGCAAATTACATAAATACAGAAAAATATTTATCTCTAAATTTGTAAAAAAATTTGACAAAAAAATAATAAAACTTAAAAGTTGCATTGTTTTAATACACTTTATTTTAAAAAAATAAAATAAAATAAAATAATTTTAAAAATAAAAATGATACTATTATTTTAGATTTTTTTTTTTGGTTTCCCGTCCGTATCTGGCATTTCGTCTCGACTAATCTGAACCTGACCCGTGTCGCGCACCTGGAATGGTGGGTGAGTCTCCCGCTACTGCGTACACAAGGTCTCGAACTCGAGACCTTACCTAATTTAGAACAAGTCGCTTACCACTTGATCCAACCACTCGTTGGTATTATTTTAGATTTTTTGTTGCTATATTTTCTGTTATTTGTTATAACAATTTAAAATTAATTATTAATGATTTTATTTAATTTAATCAAGAAATAAAAATATTTAAATTAATAATTATTATTATTATTAATTATTAAATAAAATAAATTATTAATTATTTAACAAAATAAAATTATCTGTTTACCTATTTTTTCTCAAATCTAATTGATAAAGATAAATACTAGGTAATCCCAATACACAAAATCCGAATATTATTTGTTACTTTAATCACGAAAATAATTGCCCTCAAGCCTTCCTTCCACGTCTCTCCCATGATTTTATTTATTTGATTATTTCCCTTCTTAATCAATCCACTACACTCCAGCTTGGGTCCACCTTACCCCCTTTCCCCTCAAATGGAGCCCTAGTTTAACCCCCTTTCTCCCTCACCAAACATACTCCGAAATCCTCCCCACTTCTCCTCTCCCATGGATAGCTTCCCCTCCTCCTACCCCTCTTATCCCGACTCCGGCAACTCCTCCCCTCACTCCCGGGAAATCGACTGTGAGAACCAGTCATGGGACGAGCCGCCATCTAACAACGCCAATTACAAGGTCAAGTTCATGTGTAGCTATGGCGGCAAAATCCACCCTCGTCCGCATGATAATCAGCTCGCTTATATTGGGGGTGACACCAAGATCCTGTCCGTTGATCGGAATATCAAGCTTTCTGCCATCATGGCGAAGCTGTTGGCTCTGTACGGTGGAGAGGATGACGTTTGCTTAAAGTACCAGCTACCTGGTGAGGATCTCGACGCCTTGATTTCGGTCACCAACGATGAGGATCTCGAGCACATGATGTTGGAGTACGACCGGCTCTACCGTGCATCGGCTAAGCCGGCGAGGTTGAGGTTGTTTTTGTTTCCGTTGAAACCGCTTATGGCGGCGGGGTTCGGAGGAGGCGAAGCTAAATCGGAGCGGCAGTGGTTTGTTGACGCGCTGAATTCGGTGCAGATTCAGAATCTGGAAGGTTCATCGCCTCCCGCTGCCGTTGCGTCAGCGACAAATCCGGATTTTCTGTTTGGGTTTGATAAGGTGAAATTGCCTGATTCGGTGCCGCCCCCGGCGCCGACGATTCCGGAAGTGGTTGCCAAAGACGTGACGGCGGGATCAGATTGCGGATCCGATGACCGGCATGCAATTGGAGAATCGGTAGTGTCCTCAGATGAGATTCATAGGCAGATCCAGGAGTTGCAAAGGCTGCAGATTGCTGCTAACCAAGAGCAGGGCGTTTTGCACAGACAAAATGACGAATCAACCACCAGGGCATATAACGCTCAAGACTTTTACAAAATTCCAGAGAAAGTTGCTCCGGCGCTGGCTCCCGGTTCCGTTCCGATGCAAATGCAGTTTCCAACGGCGTATTATCCTGAAAGACACATTGCAACTGCCGGTTATCAGGTGGCACCTGGAACTGACCAGCCTGTCTTCCTCATTCCCGCTTCTGCTGCTGGGGTTTACCAGGCGCCACCAACACTGCGTCAGGTGGCCGGACCTGCTGGTCAGCCATACTATGGCGTGCAGAGGGTTGTCCAGGAGGTCTACCGGGAGCAACCAGTTTATAATCCGGTCCCGGCTACAGCTTCGGTACAGCAGCCCAAGATTGGAACTTACCCTGCTGAGGGCATATCAGTGATGCAGCCAAAGGCTGGTGTTACCGAGCCTACTTATGTACAGGTAGGGTACGACGGTGCGGGGAGGCAGGTATACTACACTACCCAATATCAAGGGGTGGCACCAGTGACTGCTGGCGGCGCGGCCGCCTTGAATCCGGACGGTAAGGTTGTTGTCAATGCCAAGACTACCCAAACTCCTGCAGTGTGATTAAGCATTAGACTATTAAATTCGTTTTTTTGATTGAGTGGTAATATAATACTAAATAAGAGTGAAAGATTCATATAAATTTTGTTGAATGTTGATGTTTCTTATGGATTTAACATTGTTTGATGTATAAATGATGACTGGTAGAGGGAATTTGGTTGTAAATTGGCTGGGTAATTTCCTGATTAGTTTATTGCAACAGGCAAGTCTTCTTGAGGTTGTTGAAACATTACACTCTGCTGAAAGTGGTAAAAGAAAATGTTTTCAATTCCAGAGGCTGTCTACTCCAACATTGTCTGTTTTTGGGAATTTCTATTTGTTCTTGATTGGATTAAATTATCAGGTGTAGCATGTTACTTTTGAGATTGATTTTTTGTATTCAGTTCTTCTGATATTGCCTTGGGTTTAGCCATATAATTTGACGAATTGTCGGGTTATAAGAATGACAGCAGAGTTCTTTGCAAATTTTTCAAGAAGGATGTAGAATGAAGTAAGAAGATGATCTATCTGGATCTTGGAATTCTCAAGGTAAACAATGATGTCCATTTTTGCAATATTTTGCACAGAAAGATTGGAGTGAAAACATATTGATATTTTGTTTCCAGAAAGTGTGATAAAAACAATATGGTCTGGATACTCATTGGTAGCTTTGTAGCCAAAATCACAATTGCTCCAGCTACACCCTCCAACACAGTCTCCTTTACATGACTTCTATATACAGAGTTTTAACCTGACAGACTTAGTTAATTTTAATGAAATAGTAACTTGTGCAGCAATCTCATTTACATCCATAGCCTTTTCCTATGCCATCTGCTTAGCTCTCGTCCCCATTGCCATAGCTGTTTGCATGACCTCTTTAAAGTGCCATTCATTTCTCATAAATTATCTGCCTTTGTAGTTAGACCACCATATGGTTCATCTCCCGCCTTGCTTGAACAATTAGATAGTATAAAGACCAATACAATCATGGGCAGCACTAGTGATTCTTCATCGATCTGTTCATCAAACATTAGGTTTTAGCCAACCTTAGACTGAGTAGTTGTTTGTTTTAAAAGTTCCAATAGGGAATCTACCTTTATAAATCCAGACTTCAAGTTGAGCAATGCCACAGCTTTTCCATAAGGATTTTCTGGTGAGAATTCAACAGCCGTCATGAAATGTTGTTTTCCTTTCTGCTTCTTCTTGTTATTAATTTCATACTCTAGCTTCCTACCAGGAAAAACAATCACCTGGAGGAAGACATACATGTTAGTAAGCTAAGCTTCATATACTTATGATAGTGTAATAATTTCTTGCATGATGCCATGGGCATTAGCAAAGAAACAGAGTCTCTGCTCGTACAATCTTACATCAAACCAATGGTGGTTTGAATTAGATGTTCACCTTTCTACTACCTTGAAGCTCAAATGCATAGCCATCTTCACTAAATTTCTTGTGAACCTGAAACAACCAGTTAGAGTTAATCAAAAACCGTCCTGGTCCAGAAGATTCCGCAAGCACCAGCTTTTTGCCGGATGTAGGCACACCAATCACTTCCTTTTTTGCAGGGAGATCTCTTCTTGCCTCCATTTTCAAGGAGTCCCTGAGATAGACAACAAATAGGCAGAAATTTAAAAAAGTCGAATGCAAAACGGCTCATTAATGGAACAAGGTCAAGGAATTTTGTAATAAAATCTTCAAAATTTGAGTATTAACCTCATCTGCATAGTGATGATCTCACTGTCAGTCTCGTCCACAATGCGTGAACTTCTGAGATGCAGAAACTTTCCAGGGAAAGGAAAGAAGCAAGAATTTGAGAATGGACCTCTCTGAACCATGTGCAGTTGGTATGGTGCCGGTCTGGGAGGAGTGAAAGACAAAGCAATACGCATACCAATAGGCTTGGAACTGGAAAATCCAGACTTGGACTCCAGACTAAACCATTTTTCCACTGAAAGTTGTGAAACTGGGTTGACTAGGTCCTTTAGAGAGATTGTAGTTGTTCCCAACGTTTTGGCATGCTTGGCTATGGCTAATGCAGGTCTCTGCGAGATTAGTTCAAAGACCAGTTCCCCAGTAGGTTCACATTGGAAAAGAGTTACCCATTTCCGTCTAGTCTCAGAGAAAATGCTTAATCTTCTCTTCGTGTTGAAAAATGTGTCCCCTTTCTTATGTAGTGTGACAAAGAGGCTTCCCTTGTGCCCGTGTGGTAGGTCCCTGACACCCACAATCTCCAGCATAATCTGAAGTAAAACAATAAAAAAGATACCTGAGTGTTTGCACTTGAAATTAGTCTTATTAACGGTTCAGAATACCTTTTTCCAAATAATTCATGGATTGAGAATATTGCAAAAAACTATTAAGAGTTTCGTTGAAGAGATTTCAAGTTTACCTCCACGATCATTTTCCTCTGAAGCTGAATTGAATTGTGATACTCATTGGATGATGGAACTACCGTCTTGCTCTCAGTCTCTAGTTGACTCAAATTGATTGGCAGAGGAGATGGAGAATTGCCTCTGTACATGGCGCCTACTCGCCAGTACCTCAAACCAAATGTCTCCTCCCATTGCTCGGTAGTTCCAGAAAACCCATTATCTAGCTTCTTACCCTGGGTTCTATCAGAATCCGTGTCATCATGCTCTAAAACCTTGCCTAATGCTGCCACTAGATCTTTACAGTAAGAATCTGGATTTAATTGATGAGAATGCCAGATAAGGTCAATGTCATATGTTGGAACACAGAATCTTCTCACAGACCTTTCCCAGTTTCTCTTGATTAAATGCAAAAACCCCTTATATCGCGCTGCAGCTTCTTCAAGAAAAAGATGATCATTCATGTGTGATCTCGATACCTGTTGTAAGCACCAATACCAAGTTACTAGTCAAGCTTAATTCCAAAACAATCATTGTATATGCTCAAGGGGTTTCAGTTTCCCTCAAATTCTAGTCAATTAGCCAGCAAAATTGTTTCCCAACAACGCTACAACACTCCTACTAATTCTAAATTCTACGGTTTCCCTCAAATTCTAGTCAATTAGACAACAAAATTGTTTCCCAACAACGCTGCTACACTGCTACTACTAACTCTAAATTCTAATCAAGTAGTTGGAAGATCTTTAAACATGTTCAAAACTTTAACAAAAGTCATAATTACCTGATAAAAGAAAGGAGCTTGCCTCTTGACAGCTGAAACCAAATCATAATTGATGCTCTTTGGAGCTTCTGAAATATTTTCTGCTTTCTCCGGAGAGTGGCTACTCATATTGAGTTCGTATGGCTCATCAGGGTACATAGTCCTCCAAATTTCTTCACTTTGCTTGCTACAAGTTGCCTGTGTAGAAGATAGGACATTCTTGTTGTCAAGAATTCTCCCATAAAGTTCCTTGCAATCATTCTTATACCGAATCTGAAGAGAAAACAAAGGCAACTTTATAATTACATAATCAATGCAAAAACTTGAAGCAGAATTGCTTTACAATTGCAGAATTTAGAAACAAACCGGATTGAGCCGATGACAGTGCCAAATCCATTCACAATCAAGCGGCACGACCAAAGATAGTCCTTCCACCTCAGGAGCCTCGATGTGTTTAGCAAGCAATGGGAGCCAACAGTATTTGTATCTGAAAACGAAAATTCTCAGTAAATTTCACGGGAGAGTTGAATTCATCTTCCAGATGAAATAATTTTGTTTGTCATTGTGCGAACCTCTGAATGGCGCGGTCCAATCCGGCACCGTCGTAGAGGTAGCGATTCCGATCGACCTCCGCTAGAAATCGAAGCTGCTGTTTGGCTGCTGCCACCAGGTCTACGGTCACGGCAATCTTCTGCGCCTCCGCCCATTCTTGTTCCTGCTGCTTTTCCATTCTAAAAACGAAAAATCTTTACTTTCAAAAAATTTCGAATACAACGACAATCAATAAACATCAAAATTTTATACTCCTTAGGAGGCAAGGAATGGAAATCGAGTCTGAAAATTTACAGAAGACCGTGTCTTTCGAGGAAAATTCTGTTTGAAGAATCAACAGCCTCCATGAAATTTTCATCTGGTATCTCTGTTTTGCCTGCGCAAGGTCAAAGACTGAAAAGCCGTACCAAAAAAAAAAAAACTTATATGTAGCCCTTTACTTTATTAAGTTTGTCATTTTTAACCCATTTCGTTACACATTAAAACTTTTGGCTCTTTCACTGTACAATGTAAAAGTAAATAACCCAAACTTGACATTAAATAGAATCAATTACAAGGCTTAATCCCTTAGAAGCCCTCCAATTGTTTGTCTTCGAGACCATTAGCCTCTTAACATACTTTTTGTGTACTTCAACTCATAAACTTCACGTTATTACTATATTTGGTCTAAAATAAACAAAATTACATTATGTAAGTCATGTGATCATTTTTACTCTATTACTATATCCTCATTAATGCCATGCCGGCATAAATATAGTTTTCTTGAATCCATGAAGGCAAAAAAAATCTCACATAAGATGAGACCTATGTGTGTTTTGAGCAAGATTTTTTTTATCTTCATGAATCAAAATAAACTATATTTATATTAGTATAGCACTAATGAATATATAGTAATGGAGTAGAGATGGCCACGTGATTGAATTTTGTCTATTTTAAACTAATTACAAAAATAACATGAAGTTCATAGATTAAAATATACAAAGTGTATATTGAAAGTCTAATAGTCTTAAAAACAAATAGTTGGAAGGTTTCTAAAGAGATTATGCCCAAATTATAATGTGTCTTATACCCAAACACATATCGTGTAAGTCACGCGGCCACCATTTCTACTCATTATTATATCCTCATTAATACCATGCTGACATAAATATAGTTTACTTGGATCCATGAAGGCAAGAAAAATCTCACATGGGATGAGACCTATATGTGTTTTGGGGGAGATTTTTCCACCTTCATGAATCCAAATGAACTATATTTATATTAGTATAGTGCTAATGAATATATAGTAATGGAGTGGAGATGGCCACGTGATTAGATTTTGTTTATTTTTAAACTAATTATAATAATAACGTAAAACTCGTAAATTAAAATACGTAGAGTATATATTGAAAGTCTAATAGTCTCAAAAACAATTAGTTGGAAGGATTATAAAGAGGTTATGCCCAAATTATAATGTGTCTTATGAGGAATTGTGGGATTATTTACTTTGAATTGAAGTTAATTTCGAATTATTTACTTTAAATCAGACAGTTAAGAAGTTAAAAACTTTTAAGAGGCTAAAAGTGATGAAGATAATAAAGTGAGAGACTACATGTAAGTTTTTGCGAAAGTCAGACTTCCAAACATGGGCTTTTATCTAACCCAGTAAACAAAATGTCGGCCTTCAATGATCAGAGTCTTGGAAAAATGGGCAGCATTTTTCTTTCCCAGCGCCGCCGGCACGTGCGGGTCGAAACCGGTGGTTGATTGAGGCCCGTAACTGGTCCGTCTGGATCACTGGTCGGTCTGGTCTTATCATCTTGATTTGGTTACAATTGGGCTTGACGGGTCTCGAACCGCTCACTATACCTAAAGATTTTTTTTTTTATTAATTTTTTGGTATTCAATAATTATATTGAATCCTAACTAATTCGGAATCGAGTCATATCAAATCTCATTAAGATAAATTCTTTCAAATTTTATTTAAGAAAAATCGAATTCTTTCCGCTCAGCCCAACAAATCGTTTGGTCACAATACCCAAAGATGATTAACCGATCTTGATACCGAATTTAATTGGGCTGACCCCGGTTCGTACTCGTCATTAGCTTACCCTAGCATCTATTGTGATTAAAACAGTTTTTCATTATTATTATT